CATTCCTGAGCGCTCCTGCTACCCGTGCCGAGTGATGTGGCCTGGGGCAGCATGTGCCTCTGTCCTGGCTGGAATCTCTCCCAACCCACGAGTATGCTTGCTTTCTTCCTTACCCAGCTTCTGTTCCTGACCCTCTGCCCTGCAGGTACAGAGCCCCAGAATCTGTGCCCTAGAAGGAGGCCGAGGCCACATGGCCTATCCTGCCACCCTGCCTCCACACCCGGCCGCAGAAGTTGAAGGTACAGCCCTGCTGCTCTGGGCTCAAGATGTCTGAACTGCCTCCCCTGACCCCTGGGGCCACGCACAGGTGTCTAACAGTCTCTGCTGGGTTTGGGGGAGACTCGAGGCTAAGCAAGACAGCAGATGCTTCTCCCTAGAGGGGGAAAGTCATGACCAGGACCTGGAAAGATGATGGCTGAGGAGACTGAGGAAGACAAGCCCAAGGCGCTCCCTGTACCTCAGCTTCCACCCAGAAAACTGGGCGAAGGGCCTGTCACCTTTCCTTCCCTCCAGGAGGTGGGTTCTCAGGCCTCTGCAGCTCTGCTCATGATGGCAGGCCAATGAGGCAGTAACAGCAGGAGAAGGCTTAGGAGGAGGCTGTACCCCTGAACCTCTGGTGGGCCCAGAAGGGAGATGTGCATGGTGGAATGCTGGGGAAGGGAGAATAAGGCTAGGATGGAGGTGGGAGGGAGAAGGGACTGAAAAGTCATGAGGACTCAGGAGGAAGGGCTCTCTCAGAGCCCTGCTCATGCCTGAGCCCTGCTGCATCCACCCCCTCTCCACCAGGCCATCTGGGAGAACACTGGAGCTCCAGACAGAGCCCGTACAGCCCAGACTGATTCTCCTTCTCAAGCCTTTGGGAACAGCAAGGGTGGCGGTGGCATCTGAGCAAGAGGGCTTGCTGGCCTGGCAGGAGGCTGGAGCCTTTTTCCAAGTCCTTCCCACAGAAGCCATGAGGCTGCACCAATTTCAGTCAGGGAAAGACCTGACCCAGAAAGGCTGCTCCCCCCTACTCCCCAGTCTAAGGACACCCACATGATCTGGGCCTCCCCACATCTTGGCTTCAAAGGAGACAGTAGCAGGACCAGCCACCCAGACCACCTTGATAAGCACCCCCGCCCAGTGACCCTCAGCTCCTAAGTATAGTATAACCTAAAATCCTGGCCACGCGGAGCACACGTTGCCACAACCTACCATACCCGGGACAGAAAAGGCTGAGGGAACACGGCTCCTGTTTCCCTGGGCGGGGCCAGCCAGGTCCAGGAGAAGCCCTGGCCTGTACCTCCCTGGGGATGGCCAGGGAAGGAGGCCTGTGGGAGCAGGCGAGGTCCTGTTCTGGCCATGTTGAATGACCAGGGCGAGTCCCTTCACCCCCATCTGCCTCAGCCTCTACCAGATGGGAGGAGAGGGTGACCTCTAGAGACTTTCCTGGGCCTGGGAGACTGAAGAAGACGCAGAGGGGTTTGAAGAAGCAGAACACAGGGATCGCATGTAGGAGTTCCTCGCTGAGAAAACGCGCTCTGTGCCTCTACTGTCCTCAGCAGGCCAAAGCCCGGCACAAAACCTGAGTCTGAACCTTGGCAGACGCCACTGAAGGTCACCCTGGAGCTGAGCAGCGTACAGAATGCCTCTGGTGGCAGAGGACACCGACCAGGTGCTGTGACATGCCTTTTGTGTGTAGGTTCCAGAGGGGGCTGGGAAGAGCCCCAGGCACCAGTAAATGTGTCTACCCCCTCAACCTGCATGGCTAGGAAGGGGAGACAGGCTTGATAACTCTCCCTTGGAACCAGGTGCCTGGCTGGTGGACTTGATCTGCCCGTCTCCTGAAGCCCAGCCGTGGAGGTCAGAAGACCCCACCCCAGCTCCAGGTAGGGGCTTCCCGGGCTGCCCTCCAGCGCTCTGAGACAGCACAGGAGCCTGCAGACCACGGGACAGACACTGCTCTTTGAATGCTGCTAGCTCTCTGAGCCAGAGTCACATCTGGTTCTCATTCGAATGTCCAAATGTAATTAAATTCTCTACGACACAGCGGAAGAGTTTGGTAAGATGTGGCTTCCCCCTTTCCAGCAAGGTTAAGAAATCCCAGTCTTTCATTCCACTGCAGACCTGCTCTCTTCCCAGCCCCTGGTCTGTCCTGCTCTGCAAAGGCAAAGGCTTGTGCTCTTATCTGTTTTCTAGAGCTTATGGGGTTGGGGCCAGCGTGAGATGTGCAGAGCCCCCAACCCCCCTGCTCCACTTACCCACCTGAGAGGATTAACAGCTGAGGCCAAAGCTGCAGGCTTGCTGCAGTCAGTGCACTAGGGTTTGGCTGGGGTTGGGGCAGGGAGGTCAGCACCCCCATCTGCCTTAAAGGGTCTCTCCAGCCCTAAGGAGTTAGCCACTGTGCCCAGGCTCACCTCAGTGACACACCAGTGTCCTTTAACTCCCAAGATATGAGATATCTTGGAATGCATGAGGATTATGATTCTGGTATCTTTGGGTAAGGATCCTCTGTGCCCTGGCCAGGCCCTTTAGCCCAAGGCAGGGTAGGGCAACTCCTCGCACCTGTTACCTCTCATCTTGTGGCCTTAGGACTGCTGAGAGGAGGCGCCCCTCACCCTGCCCCTGCGGAGGGAAGGCCTGAGGAATGCTGCAGGAGCCAGTCTAATAGACAAGGCCTAGAGTGATGCCTGGGGTTGGATGGTGCCAGAGCCATACAGATGATGCTCTGTGAGGCTGACCTACATGGGAAGGTTCCAGATTTGCATATAGAGAACTCCCTGCATACACTGAGCATGTGCGTGCCCATGATCTGGGGCTGGGTGAAGCTGGGAGTGGATCACAGCATCAAGACTCTGTGGGGGTGATGTCTCTCTGTCTGCTTCTGTCTCTGTATCTCTCACTTATGAAAGAAATAACTAAACTTTAAAAAGAAGTGGCACCTGAGCCCTCTTGAAAGCATCCATGTGTCACAGGATTGTCTGTCATTTCTGGCCTGTAAGGGCTCCGCACAGGTTAAGGGACAGTAGGGTCCACAGTGCAGTCCTCCGTGAGAGGGAGGACCTGCTGACCCCAGGCTTCAGTGTGCCTCCCACTTAGCCTCCTGCTCAGGACTTCCCTGGATCCAAACAGAATGTTCCGTAGTTGGGTTGCCCTTCCCAGCTCCCCTTCCACCTGAGTAGCTCCAGTTTATGGTTTCTTTTTACTCAGGGATTTATGACCTTCATGGTAATGGGTTCCATTCTACTTCCTCTACGCCTCCTTTTCTAATCATTGTGGTATAGGCTTTATGAGAGTTTCTTAGTAAGTGGGATATTTTTTCCTTTTGAAACAAACTATCCTGCTAGTTAATGACTTATGTGGGTGTGGATGCTACCCAGAGACAAGTGGGGGCTGGGGAAGGAATGACCAGGGTAAAGTCAGGAGGGAATCTTCTAGATGAACTAGAGCTGTGCTGAGTCCCAGTGTTGGAAGCTCACCTGCTGCTCACAAACATCCTCTGCCAGAGAACTAGAGGCGCACACATGCACATGGCGTGTGTTTACCAAGGGATGCTGGCACAGGGATAGCCGCCACACATGCACACACACAGGTGTGAACCACAATCCCCACCTCACCGACCTGGCTCTAAAGATTCTATTTGTTTCCGAATGGTAAACTTGACTTTAGCAATGGATTTCATTTAATTTCTTGGTGGCATTTAGCGTCAGGTCCACCTGTCTTGGTAGCCTTTATGCCAGTGAATAAGGTTTTAAGGAAGCCAACCCAGTTCTCAGTCCAATTGTCCAGGCCTAGCAAGAGGAATATCACTGGGGCAAGGTCTCTGATGCCACCTGAGCGCCGCGAGCCCATGCTCTCGGGGCCACCCGCTGTGGCGGAGAGAGACTCACAACCTCAATTCATTGCTATGGTGCCTCTGGTCCAGATGAAACAGGCTGGGCTGAGGCCGGCTGCCTTTGTGCTGTGCTCACAGACTGGCTGCTGGTGCCGGGGCTCTATTCATTATTCAATTCAGCTAGCTCAGATGAGCCTTTCCATTTGCTCCTCCAGGAGGAATAACAAATCTAGAAATGCAATTCCACTTTGGTGTATTAAGATATTGATTTGCCTGTCGGGTGGAAATGCATTTGTTCTGTCAGCCCACCCCTGGGTAGGAAGGGGTTAACCAAATGTTTATCACAAGGCTGGCTTCAGAGTTGAAAGTAATGTGATCAGTAATGAATTTTGTGTTACATTAGGTTGTATAAATGGACAGACAAGCGCAGACAACAAGTGGCCAGGAGTCGGGGCTAATCTAATGATGTAAAAATAGAGACAGCACCAATTATACTAGGGGCCAGCTCCAGGCTCCTGCAGGGACTGCAAATGAATAGGTACAAATCAAATTACTCACTAATAGACGCACTACAAGAGGGGCAGTCAATGGTAAATGCATTAGAGCCTGGTGACCTCTCTGCTCTACACAGCAGAGTCCGAAAATTTGACTTCCATCTTCCAAGTGGGGGCAGGGAGTAGTGTTCTCAAAGAAACTCTTGTTGGGTGAGGGACAGCAGCTACTCCCTACCCCAAACCATCCATTGCCAGAAGGGACCTCTTGTCTAAACTGATCTCTTGCCCTCACTCCAGAGCCTCCTGAAGCCTGAGCACCAAGGGTAGGAGGGTACCCTCTTGAAGGACCAAGAGTACTGGGACAAAGCCTTCCGCGTGGGCAAGGACAGGAAGTTACATACCCAAACACTTCCCAGCCATGTGTCTCTCAGGGGTGATGTTTTTTACTGCTACGTCAAGGGCTGTTTCTGTATTGGAAATAAAATATTTTTTTAAAGAGGATGACAAAAATGGATCTTTAAGAGAGTCACAGGAGCCGAAACCAAAGTGAGGAGATAACAGATCTGGTGTGACCACTAGCAGCTTTGCAGGGCTGTCTGCATGCTGACCTAAGCCCAGCACACCTAGGGTGTCCAGATTTCTCACTTGCCTAAACTGCTATCATCTTTCCCTCTATTCCTCCCACCCCACCGAGTCCAGTTGACTGAGTTCCAATAATGTTGCCTGCTGCCCAGGGCTGGCGGGTAGGGGAGGATGAAGAAGTAAAGCCAGGATCTTGGCGAGCTCCTTAGGTTTTCTTCCTGCCCTCAGGCTCCATGGATTTAGCAACCAGGTCCTTGGCAGCGTGGCTGGGCTGCTTAGGGATGATCATGGAGACGTGCTCCAGTGCACTAACTGCAAGCTCATATTCCACTCTCGGTGGTTTGGGGATGAGTACAGTATGAAACCAAAGAAGCTCTCAGCCTTCCAAGGACCCAGCCCCTGTGTGGATGCAGGAAGGGTTATGGTAGGCTCAACCCACACTCCTACAACCCACCCCTAAGCCCAGCACCAAGGAGTCACATACATCAGAGTGGAGATGGCACGCTGGTCCTGGCCAGCTGGAGCTGGACACAAGGGAGCACGCCAGTAAGATGAACATGGGAGGCACAGAATGGAAAAATCCTGAACGAATGAAGCAACTGGATGGCGATTCTCCCCAAACTCAATTACGTGCGGAGAGGGGTGGGATGGCAAGCTGTTGAGCTACACTAAATAAATGTGGGGGGAATCAGGAGGGCTATGAAGCCCAGTGCTGGGGGATTCTGCCAGAAAATGGGAAAATGTCTTCTGCAAGGGGTCTGCAGGTCCCTGGGGGCCAGGGTGAGGAAGGAAGCCTGGGCAGGGAGAAGCAACCACGAGCCAGAGTTTGGGCAGCTGTTTCTGGTATGGGTACTTAAATCCCATCAGGTTGCTTGGCTTGGTCTCCCTGGTACAGCCTTCTCTTTCACTTCTAAGAGCTGAAGCTCTGGCTTCCTAGAGTCAGGGGTCATTTCCAACTTTTACTTTCTGTTTGCGGGTATGTCTTACCAGCCATCACACCTAGGGGGTTGTTGGCATACATCAGAGCACCTTCTGAGAAGGCAGAGGGTCATTTCACCAAAGATGGGCATTTAGCCATCCATGACTATGTTCACCTTTGTTCAGACAGCACACCTCACAGGTCAATGGGTAAAGGTGAACCCTCTGGCAGAGGAGGAGGAACAGAGAGAAATCCTCCCTCTATTAACCATTGATCTATTTTAATGCTTCCAGGGCAGGGCCCTTATTCTAGGGGTCCAGAAACCTTCCTCCCACTCTTTTGGCCATGTCTGTATGGTCCCCACAGTACTTCTTGCTTCCATGGTGGAACAATGCTTGGGAGGTACTCTAAAGGTCCCCAGTGAGGTCCCCAACCCTAAACTTTCTTTATATCTCTGCCTCTGTCTGGGGGAGTGGGGGGTGGGGAGACAGAAAAGAGAGAGAAAACTATCTAGAATCAGATTTGAGACCTGGCCAGAAACTAACAAGTATCTGTTAGGCATAATTATTCCCATTGCTTTGGCTGGTTTTCATTTACCTCTCAGAGGCCACAAAGCCCACCCAGTCATTCAACAAACATTAACCGCTTGGCTCTTGTCCTCGTGCTGGATGCTGGGCAAGGAGAAAGCTGGTGGCTAGAGGTAACAAGGATGACTCAGACTCAGTCCAAGGACCTGGATATGGGCCAAGACATGCTTGTAGCAGAACAGGTGAAGGAGGGCTGAAGAAACCACCTACCTGCCAGAGGCACACAGAAAGGAGTCAGCCATTGCTAGCTGGAAAAGGCACCTTATACAGCTTGCCCAGGGTCAGGTGTCCGGTGAGTAAGTGGTGGAGAAAGCCAGAGAGCATGGATGTATTTGGCTGTGTGGTCAGGGAACATGTCATAGGACGGAAGCATTGAGCTTGATCTAAGATGACGACTGGGAAGAAGGGGAGGGCAATGGTCATCTTGGGGCTGACCGACATGCTGGCAGCACCAAGCACACAGGCATGTGCCGGGGATGATGGGACCGTGTGTTGGCATGAAGTCTGAAGAAGGTATTACTGCAGAAGGGGAAGTGGGAGATCAGGCTGGAGAGGAAAGTCTCTAAGAGACCGGAAATAGCATGGCAAGGAGCCTAGGTGCAAAGGTCCAGGCCCTGGGTCCCTTAGGAGCCGAAGAGTGACATGACAGTTGGAGTAGGTCCTGAACGTGACACCCTCCCTTCCTCTACTCGAGAATCACTCTTACCGTGACGAAAGGTAGGAGGAACCGCTATGTCCTGTGACCAGGGGACACTGGCAGGATGGTAAGGCCTGAAACACTTCCAGACTCCTTATTATTCCAGACTCCCACATCTTTTGATTATGACCTCACTTCAAATTGTTCATTCTCCCCTTTACACACGGGAGAGAGGAGCATGTGTCTGTCAGTGCTGTGACCATCAGAGGACATGCATGTGGCGAGCAGGGTCTGCGGCAGAGACCCCTTGGTGGCCATCGTTACTGTGGAGAGGAGTTACTGAGGTGTCGTGCACCGTGGCCAGGAGGTATGTGTTTATGGCATTTACTGTTTTCTTTCTCCTACTGTGTTCAAGAGGAAGAGAAGGAGCCCAGAGAAGGAAAGGCATTTGTCCAGAGTCACTAGCGTCTCTCATGTCTTGATGAAGACTTTTAAATCTTGCTTAAAGGGAAAAATAAACATTCTTCCCAATGGCACTGGCCGGGTGCTGGGAACTGAAGGGATTTGGCCTCTCCTACCAGTGGAAAATAGCTAGGAATAGGCAACCTGACACTGAACTGGGACACAAATAGCAACACTGACAAATCCACCACCGCTATCCCACAGTCCCAGCGGCAGCAGCTGCTCTCTCCCAGCCTGAGCAGGGATGCCTGTGACCTGCAGGTGGGACTGGCCTCTGTCTCTGGGAGGCTCTGGGCCTTTGAGGGGCTCACTTTCTTCTTCCGCGCTAAGCAATTAGGGCATTTTTAACTGGGAGTCTGCAGTTTTATCTTTGCATCCTGGGAAGATCACGCCTGCAGGTGAAGGAAAAATCCTGACCTTGGCTTGGCTCAACTTGGTGAGGTGGGCCCCCGTGGGAAGCTGTGACAGGAGCCAGAGAGGGACAGACCCGCAGTGCAGCGCTGTTGCCTCCTCTAGGGCTTTGATCTCTTGGAGTGTATGAACCATGCCTTACTTATTTTTCCACAGTCTAGTACTAGCAGATGCCTTCAGAGAGACAGCCTGCCGGCTGCAACCACATTAAGAGTAAGGTGGACCACGGAGATGGCTGAGAGGAGACGCGGAAACATTTATGTAAATGCTGTAGGAGGAGGGGGAAAGCCAGGGCCTATTTAGGAAAGGCAGAAGAAAGGCCCTGGGTGCTTGGCTAAGTAGCTTGGATGACTGTTTGCCAAGGAACCTGGCACTTAGGAACAGTGGGCAATCAGAGATATTAACCAGGGAAGCCCAGGGCCTTTAGCAAGAGAGCCAGACTGAGCCAGAAGCTATGGCTTGAAGAGGTAAGACAGACCAATGAGATGACTTGTCCTTACCTACATTAAGAAGGCAAAATGGGACCCAGGAAGTTGGAGAGAGAAGCCTTCGGGAAATAAACAAACCCCAACTAAATACTGGGCTCGTGGGCTTCCATAGCAGGCGTTTTCGAGAAGAGATACCCTTACTCTCAGAAGGTAAAGAGAATGCAACCCTTCCCAGAGTGTCTGAGGTGAATACCACTTTGACTCAGAGAGGCTTCAAAAGAGAAGATCCCATAAAAAGACCAAAGCAGATTGTTGTCCGTGTGGCAGGGGATGTGGCTATGGGGGGATGAGCTCCAGGGGTCCTGGGAAAGCAGCCTCTTCAGCCCATGAGGCTTCTGGATTTGCTAAGGATAGGAACACGGTGGCTAACCCGGGACCCGTAGGGAAGGCTCATCCTTCATGTCGAATTGAAAGACCTGAGGGTCAGGAAAGGGGCTTGAGAGGCCCCCCAAACGCATGCAAGCATCACTTTTCCAGCTTCTTGGGGCAACACTGCAGGTTCCCATTGACATGACCTTGCCAGGAATCAGGTCACCAGAACACACCTCTCCCAGGGCTGGACTCACTGTGGCAACTCTTCCTCTCTGAGTTGTAGATTCTCCTCCATGGGATGGGGAAAATTCTAACAACTGCCATATTTTCTATAATGTCTGTAAAGTCCAATGTGGTCAACTTGTTTTTGTGGTAAACACTGATAAATCAATGATCTGTTTTGCATCTAAGGTTGACCAGAGAGCAGATATGTCTAACATTGATTGTGCTGGTGCCTGTAGTTACTGCACACGGCATCCTATGATATGTGGTTACTATGGCCCCTACTGGCAATGCAATCTTGGCATGAAAATCTTCCCGGCCCCCAGTACTGGGACAGGCTGGAGTCCCAAAACCCATTGGAAGGGCTAATCTTAGAAGCAGGATAGGGAAACCCCACATGGAGTTATTTGGATTAGGGCACATATTTGATTAACTCCAGTAACAGCAGCTCACATTTACTGAGAGCTCAATTTCTGTAGTCCTGAAATAAAGACATTAATTAGTACACACACACACAGACACACACAGACACACACACACACACACACACACACACAAACACGCATCATCTTCCTAGGGCATCTTCTCCAAAACATAGACAATCAACAGATATTTGTTAAAACTTATTGAAACCTTCCTGTCACCATTTGAAAAACTGTGTAATGTTCAAAATGTGCTTTTCCAAACATAGATACCAGAGACAGTGTGGGAGGAGAGTGGGAGATGGCAGAGGGTAAGAGAGAGGGAATCAAGGATGGGGGGAAAAGAAGCAAAACGTACAGAAAACAAGAAATGGAAGATCATTTGCTGACAATAACATGTTTGTTGATGTGCTTGATTGAGACAA